CTGGCTTCCTAAGGTTAAATGTATACACTGTATAGCTTGAAATAAGCTAGAAAAAACAAAGTTACTTCCCACTATGACATCAGTGAAAACCGTTGATGTATTACAGACAATAACTTGGTTCTACATGATCAGTTCAACCTGTAGTTTTCACCCTGTAGTTGTTTTACAGAAGGTAGAAGATTACTTACTCCACTTAATGCCAATATTTACTGACGTAGAAAAAAAAGATAGAAGCTGGGTTCATCATGATGAAGTGGATACTATTTGACTAAGAGACTGGTCTTATTACGAAGGGAAGCGCGCTGAACACAGAGAATCCTCTGTGTACTGTTTGGTGATCACGTGCTACTGACTTTTTGTAGGGGGGAGATTTACGCGCTTGTTAGTGTCCAGTTGGAGGTTGAGCATGCCAGAGGCACGCGCTCTTTTACCCTTCTTCAGTATGGGATAGGGTCCTATGGAAGACGGATATTTGGGCGTGCTAGTTGGAAAAAGACAGAAGGCTGTTAATATAGTTCAAGTCTCGTGCAGCTTGTGGTGACAAGCAAATCAGACGAATATGAAGTTGTCTTTTTCATGTATCGTCGTTTGCCGTGGTTACGAATTTGTTGAAGGAAAGTTTGAAACAACAACGGTAAGGTTTGGACATTTTGAGTAACTCTAGAAGTGAAATTGTCGTCTTTGAGAAGAATGACATTAATAAGACGACATGTGAACAACTAACGAAACAGGTCTGGCTTTCTTCCTTTTAAAGCCTCGTATGCCTAACACAATCTGCACTGATTGATCATGTTTAGCCTCTAAACTGGAAATCAGTACTGTATAGAAATGCCACGCTCTCTAATATTGTCCACCTTATATTGTTGTAACACATTTTTAATGCGTGTGAGCTTAGAGATATTACGAGTTATTGAGTAACCAGTTGTGAATAATACGAACTAAAAGTTTTGCAATTTCAATGCAAAGATCGTTTGAATGTTTACTTATGGAATATTCGCAAAGGTTTCTCTTGAGTGTTGACTATTTTAACCCGTGGGAAAAAAAAAGAGAGTAATTTCTGCACCGATAATGAAACGTTTGTTTGTGAAGCTGAAGGCTATGTGTTATCGAAATTGTTGTTGTTATGTTTGTCTTGTCAGCAACAGGAAATGATGTTGCTTTTCCCGTTGTAAGAAGCTGTGACACCTACCTAGTAAGTTCGCTGAATACGCTTAACGTTCCTTGATGTTAAGGAAGTAAATAAAACATCTTGACGTCACTAAGGCACGGTGGCCAATGTATTGTGTGTGCGTGATTGAAACAGATGACTCTTACATCTCATGACTGCCCACGTGGATGACGTATGCTATAAGTTTAACACATCTCGACTGTTTATCAACTACACGAACGTCGAAATAATCGGAGAAGACCAGAACTTCCTTTGAGAATTTTCAGTTAATCCCGCCTTTTTCTACACTTTTCCATTCTAGAAGAACACCAATAGAATAACCGGACCCTTTGTAATACATTGTTTGTTGTCAGTACTGCGGTTCTGTAAGGGGATAACAGGAGGTGTTAAGCACTTGGAAACAGTCACCGTCTACAAGTCGTTAATCAAAGGAATGAAAAGCGCATTACAGCGAGAAGAGAGCATTGGTTGACGGGTGGCGTGACCTTTGATCCTCTTCTTCCTCCCCAGGAGAACCGTCCTATAAGTCTACGATCATGTAACAAAAGTGACTAACCCATAACTTCGAAAACCAGCTGGAAAAAGAACAATTTGTAACATCTACGAGTTTTGGTTAAAGCTGAGAATCGAAACGGTTCTGTGGTTACGAGAACACCAAGAGTGTACAGTTTTTGAAGATGTTTCAGACCAAACAGATGGAAAGATAGCGTTGTCGGTTTCATTATATTTGTTATAGAAAGTCAGATATTATTAATTTTATGTGTTCTTGTATAACTCGGTTTCGGTATCTAAAGAACTACATGTACAGTAAATGTACTTGCAGTCTTCTTAAATGGGGAATTTGGTATTTTTTTTTTTTTACAAATATTCTACATAATTTGATATTGAAAAAACAATTGTTGCTAAAGAGGGACTGTCAGATTTCAATGGAAAAGACTGATACACGAAGGAAAATCTTAGCTACAGATACAGTTATAGTACTGAAGAAAAACGCTCATATCGTTTTGTGTATCCAAACATTTAACAGTTTCTCATTTTCGTGGAACGTCAGTAACTTCACATTTTAATTCACCTAATTAATGCAACCATATATTCACAAAACCATCCATAAGTTTGGTAATATAGACAACATCGGGAGATATTTTAATCAAACTCAATTAGGAGATAGATAGCTACTGGAGAGTTACTTTGTCTTTAATCATGATGCGGGGTTGTTTTGGAAGAAAGAAGAAAACAAAGGGGTCTTCTCAAATGATGCGGAGTCCTTCTCCGGATTGTTGGTGTTCCTGTCACAAAAAGGTATGTGTGTGTGGGGGTGGGGATGAAAGATTATTTAGCCATAGCAAATCAGTGTTAACATATAGGCTAAATATTTTACTGTTCAACATATGTATACTAGCAGATACCCGCAAAACATCTGGGGACAAATTAGTATTTTTATTGCAACAGTACTTCTTTAAATACAGGATTACTAGAATAATATAAAAGAACTCTAATCGCAGACACCTAAATATATAACTCCATTTGTTTTAGGCTTAACATTAGTTAAGCCTTTATTAAGTACGACCTATGTTCGATAAAAAGATAAGTTAACGCTGTAACTTGTGTACGTTTTTTGCTTTAGTTTAGTAATGGCTAAACTCTACTCTATTTAATACTATCAGTAAATAAACGTATAATGTTATTCTACGTTAAACTTTTTTAAAAACTTTGATGAGCTTTTAATATGTTATTGTACAAAAGGTCTACCAAAGTATATTTACGTCCGCCATTTGTTTATGTCCGTTGAAATGAAATGCGCGCGTATTTGGAGGACAGACAAAAAATGAGTATTATTATAATAGATTTAATTTTTTTTTGGAAATGTGTAAGTAATTACAAATCGTGAGTATTAATGCGTGGTAAAAGTTGACTTGATTGAGTGAAAATGACTAGTTTTAAATAACAGAGGCGGTGCCAGCCTCTTTCCAGTGAAAGAAATGAGATGGGCTAGACAAAAAAAAAATTGGAGGCGTTGCACTCTACAACTTGTGGGCACACATTCTATAGCACTGTTTATATTAGATGCAGGGGCTAGAGAAGATACTATACCGTCGCTTCTTCAGAACAAGCAGGTTAAACATTGAATATTTGTTATTTATAAGGGGTGGTGGGTCTTCAGAAGAAGTCGAAATTTTGAGAGAAACGAGAAAACGAGCAATAGAATACTTTTTTTTGCATATAAATTTTGTAAGGTTTGCTTTGCCAATTAATTTAATAGTTGTATTTATTTTACAGTGTTAAAGACGCGGAACGTTAATAGCAATTTATAGAAACGATCGACTAGTCACTCAAGAGCACCCATTTCATCTCCAACAAGTTGTACACATCCCAATCGGTTGTCCTGAAGATAATTTACTATGTATAAACCACGAATGCGCGAGCTGCTCCCGGAACTTTCAGTTGAGCCAGACTATTAGACACAAAAGATAATATTTTGTTTCTAATCGTCTTGTCCAAATGGCGAGTTCTGCTATTAAACGAGAAGCCTATTAGGCAGTGACTTGTGGGGAACAAAAAATAGATTTGAAATGCTATTTTTACACGCCTTTGATTTTGAATCTAAAATGAATCAATTAATAGAGATGTGAAAAAAAAAACTAGCAGTTTACGTGATTTTTATCATAACTATTAAGTTTGTTCGTTTCTAATGCTTCGACTGCTTTCAGCGTATGAACTGTAAAAATAAAAATACAAAATTCTCATATAACAATTTACAATCAACCTAAGCATGTTAGAATCGTATAAAATTTGATAGTATATCGAAAAGAAACTTTTTCATAAAAGTTTTAAAGCGTTGTATGTAACGTAAAATTGAAGTTTTTCATTATTATTCACGTTGGTAATCTCGGGACTAGCAGATGTGACGTTGATAGAAAAGTAATATAAAGTCTTAAAACCCTTTGGTTTGAATTGTCAAGAGCGTTTTCAGTTACTAACCCCGTTTGTGTCGGGTTTCAGGTTCCAGGAAATGAAAGGGTGATATCTGCGACGCTGCATAGTTATTGTTACATTAACCCTTCCTTAGGCTAGGGTTCGAACCCCCGTCACACCAAACATGCTCGTCCTTTCAGCCGTGGGGGCGTTATAATGTTACGGTCAATCCCACTATTCGTTGGTAAAAGAGTAGCCCAAAAGTTGGCGGTGGGTGGTGATGACTAGCTGCCTTCTCTCTAGTCTTACACTGCTAAATTAGGGACGGCTAGCGCAGATAGCCCTCGTGTAGCTTTGCGCGAAACTCTGAAACAAACTGTTTAAGGATGAGTATCACAATCACTCATTTCACGTGTTTGATCTATTTGACGTATAATGAAACGCGCACGCGTGTATTCCCGGTAATTAGCCGTGTACAATATCAGAAACGTTTCGAACAAATAGTGATGCTGTTGTTTTTTGCGTTTAACCATCTATAATTATCCTAGACTTGCATATGCTCGGTGTAACTCTTTTGTTCTCTGCGCATCACCACGTGTTACACCGACAAAAGGAAATTACTAATCTTTCTTGTTAAGATAATAAGTTGAGAAGAATTTGGTCAACCTATATATATATATTGCCCATTACTTTCGTCCACAAACACCTGGGTTATTTCTCCTGCTTTTTTGTTTAATCATTTGACTTTTTTGTGTGTGTAATTTTGTAGAGTATGTAACATTCTATATGTGATCTATTATTTATATTTCAGAAGATTTAAAATAGGATACACGTAACCAGCCTACACTAGAATTCACTTTTTACTGCTTGTTTTTTGGTTTTTTTTTAATTTCCCGCAAAGCTACACGAGGGTTATCTGCGCTACTCGTCTCTAATTTAGCAGAGTAAAACTACAGGGAAGGCAGCTAGTCATCACCACCCACCGCCAACTGTTGGGCTACTCTTTTACCAACGAATAGTGGGATTGGCCGTCACATTACAATGCCCCCATGGCTGAAAGGGCGAGCATGTTTGGTGGGATGGGGATTCGAACCCGCGACCCTCAGATTGCGAGTCGAGCGCCTTATCCACCTGGCCATGCCGGGCCCACTTTTTATTATGATATTTATTTGTGGCTAGTTTTCACAATCGCGGATCTCATTTTAACCTTTCCTTTGATCTGTAAAGTCGTATTTGTTTGTTTCAGAAATTTGTACAAAGCTATCTGGGCATAAATCTGGGTTGACAAGAAGGAGACAACTAATCAACAGCACCCACCGTTAACTTTTGAGCTATTCTTATCTCACAAAATAGTGGGATTTGACCGTTACTCGTGGCTCGGCGGTATGTATGCGGACTTGCAACGGTAGAAACCGGTTTTCGATACCCGTGGTGGGCAGAGCACAGATAGCCCATTGTGTAGCTTTGTGACTTAACTACAAACAAACCAGTCACTCGTATACCGTGCTCACGGCTATAAAGGGTGGGCCGCAATTTTGCGGCAATGGGCTGTGAACAATGAACCATCGAATTCACAGTCCGATTACTTTAAACTTAAGCCACGCACAGCGTAGCTGAAAAGTACTAGGTGCTTTAAAGAATCACCGTTAACTTGCAATGAAAGTATAAGACATTAACTACAAATGATTTGGCCCTTCTAATTCTTTAGAAATGAAATTATTAAACTAACCCCTCCTCTTTGTACAGTTCCTAATTATCTAAACGATTTCGCTTCTAATAAAAGCTGACATTTATCTTATACTTACCGAACAGTATTATAGCGATACACAAACACGCATATATATAAATAAACGTTTTTCTTTTTTCTTTGTCAGAAATAACCAATTTAATTAATATAGAAATGTTTAAGACGCCATCTCTGTTACTGCTGAATCTGTGTGGTTTTGTTTTCTTTATCTTTGTGTGCACACGTTCTCTTTGATAGTTGGCAGATGGGCGAAATATTAATGAGGCATAGGGGGTTCCATTCCTACACGACGAGGGGAGTTTGTCATCTTTCGTATGTTGTTTTTCCCTTCCTTTCATGCAAGTGGGGGTCGAGCACTTTGTTGGTAAGATTCACCAAGCCTTAATGTTATATATATTATATAAATGTAGAAGAAGCCGTAAAAGAAAAAAAAGATACAAGAACGTCTCAAACTATGCTTTTACTTGAAGATTAGTATAAGCACACAACCAGTTCCTTCCTTTATATTGAAACGAAACTGGAAAATTCGCATCATTTTTTTAAACCAACTATTATAATTTGTTTTTCGGCTAGGGTCAAGGACAGGTAGATTATTCGGCGCCTGTCTGATGAAAGTGGTTTTTATCTGGGCTCCTCCCCCCTCCCCCCACACACATAAAATTCTATGGCATTAGATATGTTGATCTCATCCAAGACATTGGATTTATAGATCCCTGCCAATCTGTGACCCTACCAATAGGGCCCTTGTTATTTGTCGAAATATGTCGCAAGCTCCACAACTACAGCCTTCATCTTGTCGCCTTTGTCTACTGACAACTCTCTGTTTTTACCCTTGATCTGTATCCTGTAGCTTTGATCAACCTCCAAGTGGCACAGCGGTATGTCTGTGGACTGATATCGCTAGAAACCGGGTTTCGAACCCGTGGTGGACAGAGCACAGATAGCCCATTGTGTAACTTTGTGCTTAACTTCAAACAAACAAAGCTTTGATCAACATTTTAAATCCTGTTAACTATCAAGAAATTCAAACTCATGTGATATCAGTTAGAAACCTTCCTTGAATAATACAACAACCAAAGTTTACTTTTGGTAAATATAACTAACGGGAGCGGGGCAAATGGGAATATTCCCGAATATCTCGGTTGCTCAAACATAGTTTTAATATTGATTATTCCACTATATAACCTGCTCAAACATAGTTTTAATATTGATTATTCCACTATATAACCCGCTCAAACATAGTTTTAATATTGATTATTCCACTATACAACCCGCTCAAACATAGTTTTACTATTGATTATTCCACTATATAACCCGCTCAAACATAGTTTTACTATTGATTATTCCACTACATA